AAAATCCCCCCCCCCCCCCCCCCCCCCGGTGAACAGCGAGTGTTTCCATCATGGCCGCTCCGACTGACATTTCTCCAGCAGAGTTCTGTTGTTGTCGTCGTTCTTGTCCTGAACGACCGTGAAATGTCAGTGGAGACGTTCCAGCCTGGACCTCAGTGGACGACACTGAGACAATGAGACCTTTATTGAGCTGTGGACCAATCAGAGTCCAGCAGAGGAGCCCAGCTGCTCCATCAAAGGCCTGCGTTGTCTCTCGCTCTCAGTGGAGCGGTGATGTCATCGCTCGGTTCTAGGACGGACCTGTCAAACTGATTGGTCAGAAAAGTGTGTGAAGGATCAGCAGGTTCATGACCTTTGACCCCTCTGAAGTCTTCACACAGACTAAAATTTGTAAAACAAAAAACAAAGAAATTTGTCATTGTCACTCCGTTGCAATGCATTCTGTGTAATTTAGTTGTAATCAAATGGGGGCCCGCACGTGTGGTCCAAGCCACTAACACCGAGCGGCCCAGTGCGCGGTCCTACGGTAGAACAGGCCTGACCACACGTCCCATGATGCACCTGTCTGCGTCTCCTCTCAGGCTGCTGCAGGAAGTGTTTAGACAGCACCACGGTGGCCGTCCACGACCTGGAGCTCTACTGCAGGTCCTGCTACGCCAAGAAGTACGGCCCCAAGGGCTACGGCTACGGGCAGGGGGCGGGGACCCTGAGCATGGACCGAGGGGAGCGGCTGGGAATCAAACCTGAGGAGTAAGTTGATCCACCGTCTCGCCGTCTTTAACAAAAATAAAACGTTGTTCTGTGCAGGAGAGTGTGTTAAAGCTCTGGTCCGCGGCACCACGGCCGAGCTCTCTACTAAAACAATGAGCCGGAACACGACGTGCACTTCAGAGATGGGACGCCCCAGAGGTGACCAGTGTGTACTGCACGTCTTTGTCCCAGAACACTGAGCTCCACTCACGGTTCATCAGGAGACGATTGTTGTCAGGGATCAGTCCTGGACACAAAGACCTTCATTCAGGGGCCGGTTGTACCGTAGTACTGTTGTACCGTTGTACTGTTGTACTGTAGTACTGTTGTACTGTAGTACCGTTGTAACGTAGTCACCCTGTACTGAGCAGAGCCGTGGGGTCTGGGTCCAGATCAGGGTCTGGGTCCAGACCAGAGGGCGGTGGTCAACATGAGGGCTGCAGTTCAGACACTGACCACTGATGATTTTTTTACTCATAACACTCATTATGCTCATGAGTTAGTGTAGCTCAACCACTGGGTCGTGGACCAGCACCAGACCAGACTGAGGCTCGTTTGGTTCCAGATGGAACATAAAGACCACCTGAAGACCTGCTGCTGGACCACGGACTCAGACAACTGACCTTCTTGTGTGTGTTCTTCCAGGAAGCAGACCCACCGACCCACCACCAACACCAACACCTCCAAATTCGCCCAGAAGTTTGGAGCGACAGACCAGTGTGGTCGCTGTGAGAAGGCGGTCTACATGGCCGAGAAGATCATGGGAGCGGGCAAGGTGAGGGGTGACGTCACACACACACACACGCACACACACACACACGCACACACACACACACCCCTGGACACTCACACACACACACACACTCCTGCCCCTGCTCCAGTGAACGGCTGCGATGTTAAAAACGACAGATTTTGAATGATTTTCCAGTCGATTCTGGAATGGACGGGTGATGATGTCATCAGACTGGGACCAGTTTGATCCTGTTTGTTCCTCTGGTGGAAACACATTCATCTGAGGTTCCACTCATTATTGGAACCAGAACTGTTGGTTTTACAGCCAAACGAAGACAGAACTTTAGAACTTCAACAGCCAGACCGGTTTCTGGAAAATTCCACCAAGGCCAAGAAACAAAGACTGTGTCAGAATACGACTGTTGTCAGGATACGACTGTTGTCAAGATACGACCGTTGTTACAATATGACTGTTGTCAAGATACGACTGTTGTCAAGATACAACTGTTGTCAGAATACGACTGTTGTCAGGATATGACTGTTGTCAAGATACGACCATTGTCAGGTTACGACCGTTGTTACAATACGACTGTTGTCAGGATATGACTGTTGTCAAGATACAACTGTTGTCAGGATACGACTGGTGTCAGGATACGACTGCTGTCAAACACGACTGTTGTCAAGATACGACCATTGTCAGGTTACGACCGTTGTTAGGATACGACTGGTGTCAGGATACGACTGCTGTCAAACACGACTGTTGTCAAGATACGACTGTTGTTACAATACGACTGTTGTCAGGATACGACCGTTGTCAGATTACGACCGTTGTCAGGATACGACTGTTGTCAAACACGACTGTTGTCAGAATACGACTGTTGTCAAGATACAACTGTTGTCAGGATACGACTGTTGTCAAGATACGACTGTTGTCAGGATATGACTGTTGTCAAGATACGACCATTGTCAGGTTACGAATGTTGTTACAATACGACTGTTGTCAGGATACGACTGCTGTCAAGATACGACTGTTGTCAGGTTACGACCGTCGTCAGGTTACGACCGTTGTTACAATACGACTGTTGTAAGGATATGACTGTTGTCAAGATATGACTGTTGTCAAAATACGACCGTTGTCCTGTGGAGGTACAACAGTTCCATCTGGTACTTTCTCTCCACAGCCCTGGCACAAGAGCTGTTTCTGCTGCGCGACGTGTAACAAGAGCCTGGAGTCGACCACTCAGACGGAGAAGGACGGAGAAATCTACTGCAAAGGTGAGGCCCGGTCTCTGGACCCGGTCTCTGGACCCGGTCTCTGGACCACAGGTGGACAGGTGACTGACTCTCTCTCTCTCTGTCTCTTTATCTCTCTCTCTCTCCACAGCGTGTTACGGCAAGAACTTTGGGCCTAAAGGTTACGGTTACGGCCAAGGAGCCGGAGCCCTGGTCCACACGGAGTAACTCTTCATCGTCTTCGTCTTCGTCAGCCCGGGTGTTCCCACTCCTCCTGAACTCCTCAGCCTCTGTGCTGTGTTTTTTCTACTGTTTTCAAAGCCAATAAAAACCAGCGTCAGTGATGACGTCACATTTGACTGTTTTATTATTAAAGCCATTAAAACTGAACCATGCCCGTATGTTTACATCTGAAGCGGAGTTACAGTGAAGTCTGATGGAGGGCAGAGGCACTGGAGATGGTCATGTGCTTTATCTTTTCTGTCTTTATTATCCCACATGGTTAAGAGAGGGACGGGGGAGAGACGGGGGAGGGACGGGGGAGGACAGGCTGCTGGAAGAACTCGTCAGCTGGGATTTATTTCCATCTCTTCACTCACAGCCACTTCCTCCCGGCAGCTTCACCAATGACAATGGAGAGGTCCGGTCTTTTATGTTTCACCTTCATAGCGCCACCTACAGGGTGGTCGGCGCTGCAGGTGACGGCTGGAGTGAAAAACGTGTAGAATGACACTGAAGTGCCCCCTTCTGGTGATGCAAAGATGAGGCCCAAAAGAACTGATGAGGCTTCATAACTGTGATGATGATGATGATAATAGGCTCCGCCCACTGTCCTCTAAACTATTGCATGGTCACATTTCAGCGAAAACAAACCAACAAAGGAAAGAAACGGTCGGCGTCGGCTCTTTAGCGTCTGTGTTTTACACTTTGTACATCCAGTGGTTGAACAAACCCAGCCATTTGTGACAGCGTGACGACCACGAGCATGAACAAATATATTACACACCTGCACAGGAGGGGGCCCCCTGCAGGAGGTCCACTGAACACACTGGATCCACAGAGGGAACTGAAGTGATGGGAGTTTAGAAAACAAAACAAAAAAATCAAACAAAAAAACCAAACGGACGCAGAGAAGAACTTGCAGATACTTAACATTCACTATATACAGACACGTGGCCAAGCTGTCGCCATGACGATAACGATGTGTCAGATTGAGAGTTCCAGGGTCAGTGAGAGTCCAGCTGTCCCCAGTGTCAAACATGCAGAGGGGATCGGGGGGGGGGAGGGTATTCACGGATTAAAATGCGTATAGACAGCAGTGTCAGACATGACTAGAAGCTACAGTCGTACACCGGGAGTTCAGTCACAACAGTCGCATCTTCATGTTGAGTCCAGTCCCAGTGAAAACTCAACAGAAGGAAAAAAAACAACAACAACAACAACAACGAACACTGATGAAGACAACCACCTCCCTGACTCTTCTTCATTCACAGCTGTGGGAACCTTCTGTTCAATAACGCTAGAACAATTAATGTTTGTAAAAAAAAAAAAAAAAAGAAAATAAATCAGTGCATCGTTGTAAGAAAAACAAAACAAAATAAGACTTTACAGTTTGATAAAAAAAAAACAAAAACAAACACATGGAATGAACCGTTTGCATAAAAACTCCTGCGTCTCTTCTCCTCCTCCTATGTTTACAATAAATACACATGCAGTACCTGGTCCCCGCCCTCCATGTTGAACACACACACAGGTACTTCTTTAATATTCTTTCTCATAAAAACCTACTCGACTAAAACCATCCGACGGTTCCTTTAAAAGTGAAGCCACTAGAGACGAGACGGTTACTGTATCTATAAATAGTTTTTAAATAAATAGACTCGGATCACATTGTCTGTAGGATCGTTTTCTGTCACCGAAACAGGAAGTGACACTGAAGGAGGCCCCGCCCCTGAACTCACTGCGGCCGCAGGAACTTTCTAGTTTCTGTGGTGAAAGTTACTTCACAAACAGGTGAGAATCTGAAACTCCCGTCGCAGTGAGAGAGTGAGAGGGGCTCCCCCAGTGGCGGTGCCTGTAACTGTAACCCACACCTTCCGCTCACATGTGGACAGTTCCTCAGCAGCTCCTTGGCTAAATTCACCACGGTGCAAAATCAACGACGTTCCCTCATTTCCATCACACACAAACCCATGATGAGGAAAGAACACAAACCAAACGACTACTTCAGCGTCAGCTTCCTCGCTCACCACAGGTACGGTCATCGGTACCAGAACGGCAGGGTTCCAGCACGGACCAAAAACACACGGGCACGTCAACAGGGAACACCATAAATAAGGTGAAACAGAAAGGGTAGAAGAAATAACCTGCCTCTTGGTGGCGCTGCTAAATCTGCAGCATCACATGACGAGAGCTTTTATTTTGAAATTCTTGGCGTCCTCTTTCTCAGAGTCTCTCCGCAGCGTTGGTGCCTGGCAGTTAGCGACTGTCCGAGCAGCTGAGGAGCAGAGATGAGGTGGAGATGTTGGTTA